TGATTTTTTGTCAACATAAGTTAGCATCATGAATACTTAATAAAATTTATAAGTATGGTGTTATGTAAATAAGATGATTAATATGATCATGTTGATAATTAATAAACAGTTCATATCTTATTTATCTCTAATACTATTAGTGTATCCTCTAACCTTGACATTTGTTTTTATCATTGTATAATCTTCACATTAATCTTACATCTTAAAGTCCTCTTTAACTCATCTTCACCACCATCATCAGCGTTGTTGTTGTTGTTATTGTTGTTGTTCTTCTTCTTATTATTATTTATAATATATATAGTTAACTTCCCTATGGTTCGACCTCGGTCTTGTCAGGTTATTTATTACTTTGACACTCCTACACTTGGGATAAAACATCAACTCTTTGATCGTGTTAGGTGTACACCTCTTGACTTAGTAACAATCCTTAGCTTATTGTATGCAGAAAACGTCATTGCTAACATCATAATTTAAATAGATAATCCAATGAAAGTTTTGAAAAATTGTCTCAGTTTTTCAATAAAATAAGAATGAGCTCATTTGGACTTCTAGAACTCGAGATATGGGCTGAAAATTGAATAGTTTCTAGGTTGCATGATAGATTCCAACTTCTCTATTATTGCTACAAGTTGAACTTGAAAATGATCCTTTTGAATCTTGGATTCTCTATGAAAATTCTAGGTCTATATCTTAGCTTTATATTCATATAAACCAGATCTAAATCCAAGTTCTATAGCTCCAGTTATGATTCAATAATTGAATGGTGTTCCAATTTGAATTCAATTAGCATATCTTTTCTAAACTTAGCCCTCTCTTTTTCTTCTCAATTTCAGTGGTTAAACTCATCAATCAATCCTTTGATTTATGTAGTAGGCCTGCATTTAAGGTGAACATTTATCATAAATTAAAGGTATCTTATATTATTACACATGTTATTATAAAACATGATCTAGTTAAGGAGTTATTAATACTTCAAGTGTAAAATGATGATATAAAACCTTGATAAAAATGTACTTTTAAGTATTAATCACTAGGTGGCAACTCCTAAACCTCTCAAATCATAATTTTATAATTTATCTCAACACATCCAAAACCTTTTGATCCTAGAGGAAAACTAGCCATTCAACATCATATATGCCATGTTAATTATGTTATTTCCTAAAAGATGGAAACCATTGTGTTGTTAATTCCAAGTGAATGGAATCTATTTTGATTTTTTTCCCTAAAAGATGAACACCATTGTGTTATTATTTCTAAATGGACAAAAATTTTAATGTCATTGTTCCTAAATAAATGGAACCATTGTGTTATTATTTCTAAACAGGCATTGTTATCTTGAATTATTCTTGTAATATTTTATATGATTTAAGGTTCTATAAAAATTGGATTGCGGTAAATTGTATTATGAAGTAATGATATGCATTTTCTTTATAACTAAATTATAAATTTATTAATTATATATGTATGTTGTATAAGGCCATCTTATGTTGTTTAACACATGAGTAGAAGCTTATTTTAGTCTAGTTATAGGAAACCTTTTAGTTATGTATTTCATTTTATATTAGGATGCTAGAAATGTAAACCTATAGTTCCATTTTGTAAATAATGCCTTTCAAGTAATCTATTTGGATAGTTAAGAATTGAGTGTTAATCAACTTAATTTTAACATTTCACTTAATCTAATATTACATTATTCTCTAACATTCATTTATGAATTTACTTATGGAAAGTGTCATTCCTGTTTAACATTTCACTTAATCTAATATTACATTATTCTCTAACATTCATTTATGAATTTACTTATGGAAAGTGTCATGCCTGCTAATGTTATGGATTCAGTTATGAAATGTGATGAAAATGAAAGGAAATTGAATTGTGTTAATATGCGACTCTAAAGGGCATGATAAATGTTTTATCGATTAATTATTATCGATTTGTTTATGGGGGAAATTTTAATAGAAAAATTTGTCTTTTATTCAATAGTTGAACATGAAAATGCATGAATTATAGAAAAATATTGAAAAAAATGTTATAATTTGGGTCAAAATAATGAATAAATAATGATGAAATACATACATGAAGAAGCCTTTTTAGCATAAATCATTCTAGGATGATAATTCATTTCCAACTCCAACATTGATTTCACATGTTACTCATTACTTTATTCTTGTACATATATATTTACACATATATTTACTCGTAAATAAACTCATTTAGAAACAACAATAATAAAATTTATTCAATCCATTGATATTAAAAAACAATATTATTTTTATGTCTCCTCCCAACTTCATCTCTTTTCTACTCAATGTAACTCATAACTTATGAATACATGTTTCAAAATAATTCATCTTTCCTACAATTTTGGTAACAACCTCCTTTAATTAATTTTACATAATATTTATAAGGATCTTTAAAATTAAAGCCTATACCATTTAAAATCCACATCCTTAGTTAAACCCACATCATAATTAAAATATAACATGTATATTTGTATGTATATATAATCCCTCTTTTTTTTCTCTCTTTTTTCTAACATATACTTTGAAACAATTTAAACCATCACGATACACCAATATACATAAATCACAAGCAATGTACATATTTCCCCTCCCTTATCATAAGAATTCTATTTAACATATACTTAAATTCCAAAAAAGAAAAAAAAGTTAACAAACCAATTCTTTTCTGGTCATCACCACACTAACAATTTACATTTATTACTTTCATTTTATAAACAATTTATTTAATTTTCAACCAATTCTTAATATTATACAATTGGTTGGCCTTTAGGTTTATTGAGCCACTATGATTCTTCCTTAAATTGTTCATGAATTTATATTAAAAACAAGTTAATCTAACTCAATTCATCAATTATAAATCAATGGCATAATTTCTCCAATTATTCACATATACTCTAATTTATAATATACTAATAAAAATCAATTAAAATGTGGTAAAGTAATTTAATTCATTTTCAATCATTATTTTTCATAACAACACATACATTTCATATAGTTTCTAACATTTAACACAAAACAAACAACTTTCAATTGACAATAATCATGACCGACCCTAGTTCTTCTTTACCACAATAATTCTTTCTTCATTTTTCTATGAATTTGCATCTATCATAACTTATTCCAACTCAATCGCTTCAATTTCAATCAATTTTGCAATTCCCTTAAAACTCAACGATAAACCATTAATCAAAGATTTGAGATTTTGATTAAAATCATTTAAACTTCACCCAAACTTTGATAAATGAGTTTAACACACTTTACTTATTAATTATTTGAAATTCAAATGCCTATTTGGTTAGTTTCCACCTAATCCTTATTCTTCCTCTTAAAACTTTTACTTTTTCACACTAAGTTAATTTTTCTCTCACTTAATTCTCCCTCCAAATAAGGTGTTTATGTGTTTAAAACTTAATAATCCACTTATGTTGCACAAAAAAAACTAGTTTCCTTTAAAAAATTAAATAAGATAACAAAAAAAGAAGAAAACTTCTTCGTTTCTCATGGCTAATGACCTCCCTAATAAAAAAAGAGTTGGTTCTTTTCCTTTTATTATAGTTCTACCACTAGTAATGTTTCATGAGTGTTTTTCAATAAATCTCTAAGCTCCTAATATAACTTGATATTGAATTTAATCCATATTCTTTTAGTATCCTGTATAACACTTTACTTCCAATTTCATATTATTGATTTTATTATATTATATTTTCTTTTGTCAACCCTCACCATTCAAGATAAATTTCATACACCTTTGTGTTGTAGCATTTATAATCTTTATATCCATTTAATACTTATTTTGGTTCACAATAATTGTCATTTACTTATTTTCTATTTATTTTTTAAAAAAAAACTTTCATGAAATTTCAAATTTATCGGGACTTACAAAATTGGAAGAATTTTGTAATGTGGCAAGGGTAGCAATTAGTTTATGATGTTTTTGGAATTGATTTTTTATCATAGACGAAAAAGGTTTGATGAAATACGAAATTTTAGTTCTTTTCTAATTTTTAGATAATTTGTAATATTAGTTTGATGAAAATGTAGTCATTAAATTGAATATAATAGTAAACATGTAAATAATACGACATTTTTTTATTTTTAGTATCAAAGTGTTATAAAGTTAATATGTTTTTAGAATGTAAAGTGTAATTTATCAAAATATGAAGATAAAATACAATCAAACTATAAAAGATTTAATTTGATTTTTTCCAAAAACAGTTAAAAACATTATGAAATTATAAAAACTACCCTCTTTAAGTTTTAAAAACTATAAAAAACCAAAACTGTTAAAAATACTAAAAATTATCTTAGTTTTAATATATTTTATAATATTGGGCTTATCAAAGAACAAAACCCACCATTCTAATATAAGATATATTTATAGTATGTTTAAAAATAAGTAGAGATTAATTTTTAAAGTATCTTTAATTTATAAATATATTAAAATATTTTTTTAATTTTTTAATATTTATTCTCGACATCAAGGCTTTAAAACTATCTAAAATCATAAAAAAGATTAATTTCAAACACTACAATTTTAAAAAAAATTAGAGAGACAATTTAATTATATTTCCTAAAACACGCTTAAACAAGTAAAGCCTTCAATGATTAACTTGTAAACCTGGACTCGTGAAAAATTTAAGTTGTGTTTGGCATGACTTTTTTTTAATCAACATTTAATTTAGCTTGTTAAAAAAAGGTACTAAGTATCTTAAATAAATTAAAATATAACATTTTATTTATATTATTTGCTCTCTGCATTAATGTATTTTTATTCAACTTTTACTAAACATATTTCTAACGTAACTATTTCTGTTAGTAATCATTTATGAAGAAATATTTTTCTTAATTATGAGTGTCATTCAGAATTTAGTTTTCACGTCAGTTTTATAGATATTCCCTGCGAAGAGCACAGAAATATATAGCACAAGTGAAACAGATTAAAGTTAAGCATGCATATGAGTTTTGTCTGCAGCGAGCTAGAAGAAACTAAAATATGTGTGTAGAAAGTCCAACAAATTACACTAAAGAACCATGAAAGAAATATTTGTATGGCTCCCTAAGTACTGTCAAACCATAATAATTCCCCAAAAACCGTTGATTCTATACTGATAATCATATGGCAAATGGCCTGGCTAGCTAGCTAGAAGCAGAATATATATATATATAGAATATTATCATCAATTCGACGCTACTGCTCTTAGAAAGCTTTGTGATAAAATCCATGAATTTTCTTCCAAGACTCTTCCCTTTGCATCTTCAGCTGCTTGTAGAAGTTCCCAATGAATGTCTCGGCTTTTGTGAATAATTCTTGCCCACTAATTCCACCAACTTCTCCTTCTTCTTCTTCTTCATGCTCTTCAGTCACATCTTCCACTGCTTTAGTACCGTGATCGCCACCCCCTATAAAGAAAAGGCTTGGCAAGGAGGGACATTTTTTTACTTTATGATCCACTTTTACAACAGTGCTAACAATATTCTCGGATGCAGATTTTTCAAGTACCTTGGCCTTAGCAGGAGCTTCATTAGCCTGATCATTAGTGGAGGCTTGATGATCTGGAGGTGCCGTCACAAATGATCTCGCAGGCTTTGTTGTCAGAGGAACAACAGCATGCCTTTTGGACTCCTCTACAGGCTCGGAGAAGGCCGCCGATATAAGGCCAGCTTCAGCTCCAAGAGCTATAATGAGCAGATTAATAATGAAGTAGAGATACTTGGGCCTCAACGAGGAGGATATGAGAGGTGTCACAAAGAGAAGTGCAGCTAGGATAGAAAGCATTAGAATTTGAGACCTTTTCAACTTGCTCATAGCTAGCTATTGACGGGGGGCAGTAATACTGATTCAAGAGGTAATGTACTGGTTGTCTGCAATTTGGTGCTTGAAGAATGAATATTTAATTGGTTCCGAGTAGAAATCAAGTACAGGCTTTTCTATGTGTGTGTGTGTTGAGAGAGAGAGAGAGAGAGAGAGATCACCGGCGGCAGAGGGCTGAGCAAGATAATACTTGAGATTTGGAACTTGCCGTGTATATATATAGTGATGGCAGCATTTTAGTAAATATCAGTCAACAATAAAACAAGGACAGATAATGATTTTTTTATCAAAAGAAAAAAGAAATCCGTAAATTAAAGAAAAGAGAGTGGGAGGGTATTCTCTTGTCATAAGATCTGTATTTACTTTTCCTTCTTTCTAATTAATAAAACTTCAGAATAACATTTCACTTTCATCGCTCAAGTGTGTCAACCAATTCGATGCTTTAACATATTCAGACTATATATCATGAAGATAGTTTAGATGTTCAGAATGGTATATTCAAAGAACTAGAAGAAACATCTTCTTACTTTATGAGAAGTGACTGGAGTTTATTTAATTATCCAACTTAATTTAGTTTTAATGAAGGGGGTAGCTAGGTTTTTTTTTTTTTGAGCTACTAAAAAACTACATAGAAATTATTTTTTAAAGATCAAACATTAACTCATGTATATGAATTTGTCAAATTAACAATAAAATTTTAATCAAAATATACAAATCAAATGAAAAATAAAATTTAAAGTATATAAAACTAAAATAAAAGTAAAAATAAATTATACTATCAAAGTAACACTATTCAATGTTTTGTAAAATATAATTAATTTTTGATTAAATCTGAATTGATATCTTCAACAAGTTTTCATTCAATGTAAATAATTAGTACTTAAAAGTACATTTTTATTAAGGTTTTATATTAGTATTTTGCACTTAAAGTATCAATAACTCTTTAACTAAAGCATGTTTTATAATTACAAGTCCGATACTATAAGATACCTTTAATTTATGGTAAATTTTTATTTTAAATGCAGGCCTATCACATAAATCAAAAGATTGATTTATGAGTTCAATTACTAAAATTAAAAAGATAAAGAGAGGGTAAAACTTAGAAAAGAAATGCTAGTTCAATCCAAATTGAAACACTATTTAGTCATTAGGTTATATCTAGAGCTGTAGAACTTGAATTTGGGTTTGCTCTATATAGATGGAAAGCTAAGACATAGGTTTAAAACATTCATGCAGAATACAAACTCAATTCTGCTGTTTGGAAGTCCAAATCTTAGATACAACGGAGAAGTCTGAAAATCCGAATAACCCAAACACTGTTTAGTTTTTATCCCATATCTTGAGTTCTAAAAATCCAAATAACCTCAATTTTTTTTATTGAAAAGTTTAGATAATTTCCTAGAATTTTCATTATTCAAGTCTGTTCAAATTCTAATGTTAGCAATGATGTTTTGTTTAGACAAGAAGATAGTGATTGTCATCAAGTCAAGATGTGGTCACCTACTCAACAATTAGTCAACAAATTAATAGTTCCCAATTATGACCTATAAAAGGAGGCATTTGTCATGCATTTAGGTATCTTGGTTTTTAGATTAAGATCATGCTCTTACTCTTTTTCTTTATATTTTTATAATACTTAACTTAAGTTTTGCTTATATTAATCTCTTGTTTATGCTTTTCATTTCCTTTTCTTTACTTAGTTAACTTATATCTTATTTATGTTCTTATCATGTTTATTTATGTTCCTACTTTTTATTATGTTTAACTAAGTTTATCATCTCAAGGTGAAAATGTTACATTAATGATGTAAGAATAAGTACAGTATAAACTCAACATAGACTTTAATGTTATGTTTTGTATTTGTTATCTTATTCACTCTTAATACTTCTCTTGTTAAATGGTTAATTTCAATTTATGTTGTATAACTTTGGTATAACAAATACTTGACACTTTCTGTTGTATAACTTTGGTATAACAAATAATTGACACTTTCATAGTATAAATTGTATGGTATAACCAACACTTGTGTTATGAAAGGAACTTAAGTTGTTGTTAACATAAGTTATAATCATGAATACATGAAAACATTTACATGTATTAACATTATTCAAATAAGATAACTAATGTAATCATGTTAATAATTTATAATACAATTGGAATCTCCTTTGTGTGTGGTTTCCAATTGAGTAATAAAAAGAGTTTATACTATACTTGTTTGAAATAACATTAGTAGATTCTCTAACCTTGACATTTATTTTTATCATTGTTTAATCCTCACATTAATCTTATAATCTCAAATTTCTCTTTAACTTGTTATTGTTGCCGCTGTTTATAATTTGTATAATTAACCTCCTTGTTGTTTGACCCCGGTTTTACCGAGTTATTTATTACTTCGACACTCCTATATTTAAGAGAAGACATCAATCATTTGATCATATCAGTAAGTCATCATAGAATCTATTAAGAATTCATTTTCTATTTTATTGTGAAGCATAATTTTAACATGTTTCATAGCTGAAAAAAGCTCACTTTGTGGTGGCAATGAAAACAGGTAAAAAAAAAGATGAATCAATCTGTCAATCAAATAATAGTGTTGTGACTTATTTGTTTCAACTTATCCTCAACATAATTAAGAAATGATAAATGCTTGACTGGTTTTTATGATTTGCTTGTTTTAACTAGCAAGTGCACGAGTATATGACATGATAAAAAGATTAATATCTTCTCCCAAGTCCAGTAACTTATGTTAACAATAAATCAAGTTCCTTTCATAGCTCAGGTGTCGGTTATACCATACATTATGGGCTATGAAAGTGCCAAGCATTTGTTGTACCAAGTGTTATACAACATAAATCAAGATTAGTCATTTAACAAGCAAAGTATTAAAGAGTGAACAAGATAACAAATATAAAACATGTTAGTATCAAACATTAAAGTCCATATTAAGTTTACATTATACTTATTCTTACACCATTAGTGTAACCTTTTCACCTTGACATAATTAACTTAGCTAGACATAATGAAAGAAAGCAAAATAGATAAACAAAATAAGAACATAAAAGTTAACTAAGTAAAGGAAAGGAAATGAAAGGCATAAACTTAATATTAATGAAAACAAAGCATAAAAAATACAAAGAGAGAAAGGAAGAGCATGATCTTGATCTGGAAACCAAGATGCCTAAATGCATGGCAAATGCCTCCTTTTATAGGCCAAAATTAGGAACTATTGATTTGATGACTAATTGATAAGTGGGTGGCCAACTTTTGACTTGGTGACAATCTTTATCTTCTCTTGTCTGCCCAAAACGTCATTGATAACGTCAAAATTGGAGCCAGTTGCAAACATGAAAGTTGTAGGGCATTGTCTCAGCTTTCTTATGTAAAAAATTCAGATAATTTCAAATTCTAGAACTCCAGATATGAGTCAAACACATTTGGACTTCTAGAACTCTAGATATGGCCAAAATACCGAACAGTGCTCGGGCTGGAAGACAGATTCGGGCTTCTTTGTTGTTGCTACAATTTGGACTTGATAATGGCCTTTTTAGATCTTGGGCTCCATATGAAAGTTGTAGGCCTATGTCTTACCTTTCCATCCATATAAATTTGACCTAAATCTGAGATATATAGCTCTAGATATGACCCAATTACCGAACAGTGTTCCGGTTTGGATTGCACCGACATCTCTTTTCTAAGTTTGGCCATCTCTTTATCCTTGCAATTTAAGTTCTTCAAGTCATCAATCAATCCTTTCATTTATGTGATAAGTCTGCATTAAAAATAGACATTTACCATAAATTATAGGTATCTTATATTATTAGATACATTATTATAAAACATATTTTAGTTAAGGAGTTATTGATACTTCAAGTGCAAAATGATGACATAAAATCTTGATAAAAAATGCACTTTTAAGTACTAATCTGTATGCGATGTAGCAATTAACTTGGTACGATCGAGGTCATATCTATAAAGAGTTAGATTTAGAAATTAAGCCAAGTAACAAAAAAAACTCAAGAGAAATTAAATTAACATTCACTTGGTTGAAAATAATTGATGAATTTGTTTTCAAAGATGAAAACGTGTAAATAGATTTTAAATGATAAGAAAAAATAAGTCTTGATTTAAATCAATTTTAATAGTAATGTATTGGTGATTCCTTCAATATATATAAGATAACTCAATTTAATATCAACGATGGTGATATTAGATCGGAATATATTACAATGATGTTTAAAAAGATAAAGATTGATTATTGCTTAAGAATGAACAAGTATTTTCATATTAAATAAGACATTGAATCAAACAATCTCTATACCAAAACTAAAGTTTGTGCATAAAAATTCGAGTATAACATTACCTTAATGATTTCTAAAATTCCTTTAGAATAATAAAACATTCATGAAGAAAATGAGAAGATAAACATTAAGATTCATTCATATCTTAAAGAACTCACCTCAACCACCATCATCCTTGATTTGGATCCAAGAAAGAGATTAACCAACCATGATTATATATAAAAAAAAACTTTAATAAACATGAAATAACTTGAATCAAACTGAAATAATAAGTCTTACAAACAAAAGAACTAAAATCTACAAAAAAAGAATACAACACAACTTCAGTAAAAATTCAAACACAAATATGATGTTAACTTTGGACAGCAATTTCGCCCCACCTAGAAGCCTTTTTTGGAGATAGCTATTAGAGACATGTTTATAAAAAATTCTATTATCTTTCCAAATCATTAAAGATCAACTTATTTTGACACTTGAGTAAAACGTTATGGCAAAACACCAAAAGATGTTCTGGAAAATTAAATCAGGCCAACTTGGAAACCACTTTGATGTACTTTTTTTTCCCCTCCTTTATGAGCTATCTCTTTCTTCTTTTTGACCTAAAATCATGTGACAATATCCCTTTAAGCTTTCCATCCATGTGCTTGCTCTCTTAGATCAATGGATTATCCAAAATAAATCAAATGTTATTTGTTGTGTGAACATATAAGATCATGAATTGTGCTTAGGTTAATTTGGAGGCTGATTTGGGGCTGAATTTAAGCATCATATAAGGATATAAATGTACCTCTTATTTGGACTAAGATTGACATTGAAAATTTGAGTGTTTGATGGTTGAAGTTTGCACGCAATATAAGGTAAGTTTGGGCTTGAAATAGATCATATGATAATCT